CGCTTGTTCCGTTCTCAAGGATGCGCGTTAATCTTTTTGCAATTAAGGGGATCTGGCCGGCTAAGAGATCCGGCCGGCTAAATGATCCGGCCTTGCGTTCCTTTTTTTTGCGCTGACCGATGCTTATAATCGACGTGAAACCAAGACTTGCAAAACGCTCAAGCCGCGACGGTCTACACAGGGTCGACAATAATTTAAAATGTTGGACCGACCTCTGCAATGTGTCCCACCGTGGACTGCGGAGGGGCTATTTAACAATAAAATTTTAAATCTTGAAATAAAAAGCAAAAAAAAAATGAAAAAAACGACAAAATAAAAACACACAACAATATAAAACAAATAAAAAAAAAGAATAAAACCCTGAAGGATAAAGGGATACTGGTTTAGTGTCCTTCCGGTCATAATTGCACCCGTTACACCAATTAATCACGGATTAATCACCGCCGCTACACTCAGGATAAATAAAATATGTTAATCCGTCACAACTCGTCGCATTTCTCAGCCGGATGAATCACCGACCCCATGACCCAAAACGCGTCAGTCCTTGCCGACTCACCGAAGAAATCCGACCGACCTCGCCTGCCGAATCGGATGACTCCGCGAATTTTTTTTTTTTTTTTTTTTTTTTTTGGCGAAGGACTCCTCGACTGGCCTCGGAGGGAATGTGTCGACCATTTATTTGATTATTGTTAAACTCGACGCCGGGAGACGCTACCCATGGTCGATGGCCTGACGCAACTCGAAGAGCCAATCCCATTTTAATCTGGCAAAATTATGAAATTATAAGCTAGCAATTCCCAATTTACCAATTCAGCGAAGAGCAGAAAATTGGCAAATGGCAGGAAATTGGCGAAGATCCGGTCTCGAGGTGGAACCGCAGGACCTTTGGTGCAATGGGCCCGTTTTTCGTGCCCATTATCGGTATCGTATTGGGCCCATTATTGGTTCAATTGGTTGGTGATTGGCACCATAATGGGCCCATTATTGATACAAAGGTTACATAATCGGTACCGTTATTGATGCAACATGCCAATAATCGCAGAAAACAAGAGGAATTTTCTTTAAATGTTCCATGTTCTTTTTTAAAAAAAATCCCAATCCGAAAGTCTCATTTTTTTTGGTGTCGTTACGTGACAGTTGATGATCAACATTACAGATGGTCGACATCTCCAAGAACTCGGAAGCCTCGTGCGTTCGTCGAAATTCATCTGTTCGTCGTTAACCTTTTGTCGTTACGTATCCTTGGCAGTGACGTAACGAAAAGACCTTGGACGGGGGCAAGGCGGCCGAGGGTATCCGCTCTAACGACCGAATGTCGAATTCTCTGTCGTCGAATGATCGCGAACGTCGAAGGACCTGATGGTCGAAGGGGGCGATTGGCCCGTGGACTGTGAAATTGGTCGAAAACCGCTTTTATTCGAGCCGACGAGAACATCAAGAAATCGGAGTCAGAGATGCAAATGTCCAATTGTCAAATAGCGTCAAAACTTGATAGTGTAGGCTAAACCTCAAGAAATCGGACAAAGGCCAGAAATCCCCAGTTACCTTCAATTTTCTGTCGATATCAAGTTTCTTTCGTCCCCCCCCCCCCCACTTTCCAGCTCTGTCACTGTCGACTGCTTCTCCGCGATGACGTCAGAAATGGAACGTAGACATTTCTTGGAGTGAAACCGTTTCCCAACGATCGGCGATGATCGATGCGAGGCTCGTGGCCGGGCCGCTCCTCGCATTCCAGCATTTTCCACGGAATTTTGCTTCCTTTTGCGGTCTGGCTGCATGTCGATGAACTCTTGTCGGAAGTACGCGGATGAAGGTTCTGTTCCTTAAGCAGTTTCTCGGAAGAATCGAGTACCGAGTCAGTGAGTACTTGGTGATAAAGGATCGAGACTGACATCGATGAGCGAGTTCAGACCCTTTTTAAGGTCCTTAACTTTCTCTGAGGATGGACGATTGTTCCAATTTTCGGCCAGGCATGCAGCCTGTGGGACGAAAAGGCCATTTGAAAAATGAGTTAGCCATCGCACATTCCACGTTTTTCGAAAGTTTTCGACAATTTCCGACGTTCTTGCCCTTCGACGTTCTGACCCAGAACCCTTCGAGAGTTCTCTCTCGAGATTAAAATCCAGGCGAAATTTTTCGGTTCTTCCTTCTGACGATCACGATGCGACACACCGAACAATGCAATCTCGGAGACGGCGGGAAACATCGAGAAATCCCCTCCGAACTCTGCGATGAAACCGACCACGGAAAAACCTTTAAATCAAATTTACATTTACATTCTACGGCCTGATACGCTTACACTAATAATTATTATTATTAAGTACAATAATACTCATAATAAAACTTCATAACATCTGCATTATTTCAGTTTTGCTCTGAGACTCCCTGGCAGGCAAGGACGGCACATTTCACCCCTTTGTCATGGAAGCACACGCGCACGCGCACACACACGAACACACACATCCCTGAAGAGTCACCGATGCAAATGCTAATCGTTTCATCTTTTAGTATCTTAATTGGAGACATTTCTTGCAGAGCCCCCCCCCCCCCCATCAAGAAAGCAAAGCATGGATCATTTACAGGTTTCATCAATGATCTCACTGCAATCGCTCCTGAAATACACTTAAAATTACCTGCATCGGTAATATGCTAAAAACAGCAGCGACTCCGGTGTTCAAATCAGCACAGAGGCGGTCGTGCACCCCGCCCCGCCCCGCCCCGCCCCATGCCTTGACACCGAATCGATTAACGATTTGAGCAACATCATCGATGGCGATCCGAATAGCGTCGGCCATGAATCAACTTTGTAATTGAATTCGTGGGCCGGCGCATCGAAAATTGATGGCCGTGGCCGATTGTTGGCCGTGGGGATGGCCGTTTGCAGCATTTATGAGCTTCATTTACGCGATGCAAATCGAGGGATCGGCAATAAAGACGATTTCATAATAATTATTGATGAGTTCCTATTGAAATAAGAGGAGTTAGAAGTAGGGCGGTGACAATTGCCCAACGGGACCGGGTTGCAAATTATCTCACCTCGTTGCAAATTATCTCACGTCGTGGGGTATTGCACGTTTGGAAATCTTGCTGCATTTTTCCCATGGATGGAATTGGGATCGATTGAGAGGCGGGATCTGTGAAAGTTCCACGTCGGTGGCAATTTTGCATCTCTAAGATGTTTAAATTATTCATAATAATAATAATACTTTTTTATTCTTATTTTTTATAATAATAATAATATTATTATTATTATTTTATTTTCTTGTTGTTCCGAACAATCACGATCCCATCAAGTGTATGAAAGTCATTGACCACAATGCAAACGCAACGGAATCCAGCTCGATCGCATGTTTCATCACGCATCCGGCAATGAGGAAATCCCGATCGCCCGCCTGCATAAACCGCGAAAAAACCGCCGAATGAATGCATGAAACATTGCCGACCGAATGCACGAAACACCGCCGAATGAATGCATGAAACGTTGCCGAATGAATGCATGAATGAATGAACACGATGAACTCCCTCGGCAGGGGCGCCTTGACTCAGATCCGCCATCACGACTGCAGATTTTCGTGACGGGGGAACATGGACTCGAATCGTTGGGTAACCGGCTCTTTACATGAGAATATCGAAGGAAAAGTCTCATGTTATGAAGGTGTCCCATTATCGCTCATTACCGTGCGACCCATTACTACGCGTCCCATTACCATGTGACCCATGCACATTGCAGCGTGGAAACTTTTTTTCTGCATTTCCGGCGCAGTTGTCATAATTCAAGGACCGCGTGCAAATGCGATTTAGAATTTGGATTCGGATCCGCCCCGGAAGAAAATGACCTTGACGAACTTTTCCGGGAAAGGTCTTGGATTCGGGCTACCGACAATGAAGGGCGAAGGAGGTCGAGGTTCCTTAACGACATAAGGACCCCAAGGTCGTCGAAAAGAAACGCCCTGTCACAGAAAAGCGCCTTTTCGCCTGCGATCGTTCGATCGGCAGAAGAACGTATGCAAATCGAGGCATTAAACGCTGGCAGGTTGATAGAAAGCATTTCTCGGGGCGCCGTCAGATCCCATCAGTCTTTTTGAATGGCCTTAATGATATTTCGAGAGGCTCGAAGCAATCATCGGGGTGGCTTGGCTTATTTATTGTTCTCTTGTTTATCGAGGCATCGAGGCCGTTTCGCCTCTCGTAAAACGAGAAAGGAAACGTAATAATGAAACGAGATTCGCACGATCTAAAACCATTTCGATGCCTCCGGGGAACGTTCCGCTGTATTGTTCCGACGGCTTAATGAAGTAATACGTAATACAGATGACCGCGGGAAGATGGGGAGCTTTTGTTCGGATTTCCGCCGGTGAGATGGCTCAATCCGAGTGTGAGAAAGCGAGGGGGAGAAAAACAAAAGCAAGCTGGGATCTGGGGGGGAAGAACGATCATTTTCATGAAGATCCATTTACGACGTGATTGAGTGAGCACGGTGGAGTGCTCTCGAGGAATCCGGTCTCGAGTTTCGCAAAGGGCGACAATGATCAAAGTCTCATTTGAGATCAGAAAAGGGAGCGAAGACCTTGAAATTCTCCCGTCATTATCCATGCTCAGGGGTAATCCAAAATGTGACGCAATGAGAGTCTGTCCCACACGGCATCTCCCCCTTCTCAATGAGATCACGAGCTCCCCCCTTGTTTTCGAGAGATCTGCATCCCGGAGGCCTGGGATATTTTTAGGGCTATTGCGTCACAGGGTGTGGCCCGTGACCGTCTTGAAAGGTGCCCGAGGATACCGGTGAACTTTGAAGAGGTTCACCCTGCCCTTTCACCGCTACTACCCCTTTGTAATTCATTAGTGGAAAGAGGAGGGGGAGGAGGCTGTGAAGGAAAAAAAAAAAAAGGAGGCAGGAGAAGAGAGGAAAACGTAACACCCCCCCCAAGGGCCTCCCGGGATGGACCCGCCGAGTCCTATATAAAGGTCCGTCCCGCCGGGACTGACCATTCAGTTGCCATCTAGGTCTCTAAGTGCTCACTTCACCTCCTCCCTTGGTTTTCACCTACCTCCTCCGACATGGCTTTCAAGGTGCGTACCCTTGCTTAATTCGTGGCTACTACGCTACCACAGTGCCTTCAACCGGGGTGGTCTGCCGGCTGTTGTGATCGTTTACTGCGACTTGGGGGTCTCGATTGCTGAGTTAGATTTAGCTACCATGTGCTTTGCTGTGCTCTGCACTGCACATCTCAGTGCTACGTTTGATCACTGAAATAGAACATTTTTGTTCATTCTTGGGCAACCTTTGAATGAAGTCGGTACCTAATATTTTTCGAACTGCTCCAGATGGTTTACAGTTGTCGTCACAGATAATGTTGGAGGCTTAACTGTTATCTACATTCCTACAGAATTTCTACATTAGGCTTTCGCACTTTGAATAGCAACACAAATTTTTATTTTCTGTACATAGCAAGATGTACATTAACTTAGGCTGAGATTTATCTACCGGTCCTTGGATCACCTATGGGTGACTTTGTCTGTATGGGAGCTTTACTCTTTCTTGTATGCATTTCCCCCATTACAGTGCTTGGTAATACTTAAACTTGGTACCTAAAACTTTGGGGGTTCTCAAGATAGAGAGCCATTCGCTACAGAGAATCTTTAACTTTGTAATACACAATTCTAGAAGTGCAGTGAAGTGAACCCTGGATCTGTTTGCTTGTTCTTCAAGGCTATCCTCTGTCTGAGTTTGGTGGCTGTCGTCCTGGCCGACGACCCTTACGCACCTGCAGCCTACCGTCCAGCCTACAAGGCCTCCTACGCTCCCGCCTACAAGGAGCCCGAATATTACGACGTAAGTTTGACTTTTGAAGCCTTCATGGGCATATCTTCATGGCACGGTTCAGAAACGTTGCATTCATCGGTCCGGTTGAACACTTGCAGAAACCCTACTACAAGTTTGCCTATGACGTGAAGGACGAATACTACGGAAACTACTACGGACACCAGGAGGACCGCGACGGCTATGAGACCAAGGGAGTCTACCACACCCTGTTGCCCGATGGCCGCACTCAGACCGTCTCCTACGTCGCCAACGAATACGGCTACAACGCTGATGTCCAATATGACGGATATCCCAAGTACGACAAGGGCTACGATTACGCTCCTTCCTACCACAAGCCATCTTATGCTCCTGCTCCCTACAAGAAGCCTGCTTACAAGTCCTACGAGCCCGCCTACAAGCCAGCTTACAAGCCCGCCTATGAGCCCGCCTACAAGCCAGCTTACAAGCCCGCCTACGAGCCCGCTTACAAGCCCGCTTACAAGCCCGCTTACGAGCCCGCTTACGAGCCCGCTTACAAGCCCGCCTACAAGCCAGCCTACAAGCCCGCTTACAAGCCCGCTTATGAGCCTGCCTACGAGCCAGCCTACCCAGCCTACCCCTCCTACGCCTAAGTCCATTCACGCCGGAAGTTACCTGACGAGTTCCCCCTAGTGTGAAAACACTAGGGTTGGATTCTCGGAGATTCGTTATCCACTGTCTCATTCTCGGTGCCCGTGCAATACACTCAAAAGCCCTCACGTCTTTCAATGCTCTTCATGATTTTTCCCCTTCCTTCTCTTCGGGTGTCCCGTGTGCCAAGTCTCAGTCCGTTTTAGAGATCGCTACAGTATTTTATTGGTGTCCCTTGTGATTGCATCGTCTGTAAGACGATTGCCATGTCTGTTTCGTGTATGCGTTCTATTTATAATATCTATGTAAGCCGGGAATAAAACGACGGAATTTCCTACCATAGTAGTTTTCTTTGATGGTCTGAAAAGCCTCAGCGATCCTGCAGGATTCAAGGATTCAGAGCCCTCGTTTGGCACAGGAAACACCACGCGATCCGGACAGAGAAGTATCTACAGCCTGCTAGGGCTGCATCCCGCCACGCTCTAGGCTACGAGAGCGAGCCCTCATCGACACGCTTTCCTCAGGAAGTAAATACCTCTTACAGCCTCTTTTGCCCCTTAAATGTATCATGGAAACAACATTATGCAATGGAAAGTGAGAGTTCCCTTAGCTCGAAGGAAACTTTCTTTCCGGTCGGTTCCTTGGGGAAGACAGGACCTGAATCTCAATGTCCACTCCAAAATATTTATGACTCATCGATGGGATCCAATTTACTAATTGCAACACTCTCGGATTCCTTCAACCGTGACGCGGTCACAGGAGGATGAAGAAAATAACACTTTCGGAAGACGGACTTTCCCCGCCCTTCGCGGCCCCGGAAACGATTCACCTTTTCTCAAGGGGTATTTTCCTCCACGCTATTGGCCACAAGGCATCTACCAGAACCTGATCTCCCCCGCTCGATGAGATTTCTTTCTGCGTTTTTGCGCTTTCCTCCTTTCCTTTTTTTTTCTCAGAGACGAGGGTCTTCATCGCACGATGGACCATAAACGGGGAACGGGCGATTAAGAGTTTTCACAAAGCACTCCGTCGATTCCAGGAAGAGAAACAGTTTTCAAGAAAGGCGAAGAATATTTCTTCCTCATGACCGAATGAACGCAGCTATTTCAGAACCAAACACTCACGTGACTTGCACTCCAAACCACCATCAGCGGCATGCGTTTTGCACGCGGAAGATGGGATACCTTGTTCTCATCTCGCCTCCCTGAGGTTTTCCTTTCCAGAATGTTGCACTTCCAGAGTTCCAGCTTCAACCGAATACATAAGTGGTTCGGAAGGAACTATATCCATCGTGATAGCCATGCTGAATCCATGGTATCAATGAAAACTTGTTTCCCTGTTGAGACTGATCGAAAGTTATCCTTGTAAGTGACGTACTTTAAAATATGAATTTCTCAATTCCGCAGGGAATTGATTCCTTTCTGTCTATGGTATTTCACTATTTCGGTTATAAAAAAAGAGAAATCATTAAATCAATCATGTGTAAAAAAAATATATGAAAATTAACACGTCATCACACATGAAACTATCTCCTTCCGATCCGCTCATAATTTTTTCTGAAGATAAAATTGCATGAGATTGTGTCTGCAGGGATTTAACATCCTAATTACAGCATCGAAACCCTCGGACCCAAAACACGCATGATAATTACGCTCGTATGATAATTATAAGGTTGAAGGGCTTACTCGAATTTTCCGAGATTGCCCAATCGATTCGAAAATAGGAAACACAGACGGAACCATTTAAGGCATTGTGCAATGTCGATTGCACTCGCCCCGATTCATTTGTTTTGTCACGAAGTCGCCGAATGGACGAAGAGCGATTAGACGAGGAAGATTCGGTCGATCGCGTGTGCGTGCTTCACGCCCCTTGAGTGGGCCGACGCGATGCTTCACGCCCGCGGAAAACCCGTTTTCGATTTGCTACAAAACAAAAAAGCTTTTTTTTTCCCCCTCAGGTTCTCGAATCCCAGAAAGATGACTTTTACTTTCGCACTCGACATTCGACCTTTGGCCCTTTTTTTGGCGACACCGCACGGCGCACGTCGGCGTTGCGACAGATTATGATTGGCACTCATTTCTCAATAGTTGAGACGGGGACGGGGCACGCTATTCCGTCGTTAAAGGCCGGACCATTAAGGGCATCTTGATTTTCTCACCCCTAGTCATCTTCTCCTCGTCTTACAAAATCGATTTTCCTCTTTCTCAGCTCGGAGGTTTTTATTTTTGACCTTTTCGAGTGACCTTTTTTTGACCTTCTTTTTGACTGACTTCCCCCCCCCCCCCCCCCCCCCC